AGGCAAACAAGCTCCGAGCCAGCTCCCATGTCAGAGGATGAAGAGAGCACATCCAGTTAGTCATAGTCAGAGAAACAGGACTACACTGGAAAACAGGCCAAGCTCCAACATCTAGAAACAAAGGTGTTGATGGCAGCAGCACAGCTGATATTTCTCTCCAGGATGGAGTCACAGCCAAACAATGACAGCATCCTGAACTTTTAGTTCTATGTTTTGTGTGAAAACTAAAGTATTCTTGGTAAAAATCCATTAAATCCTTAAAGAGCAGAGCTGGTTGCAACACAGAGATTATGTGAGGGGTTTGTGATGTGTGCATTTTTTTTGTCTTTTTGATTTCCTGATTGTTTATGTTCAAAAAGGTCTTGCCATATTTGGTCCTATTTGTGTTTAGTTTACTCTTACATTTTTTTCTCTGTTTTTCTTTTCCTCTTGACTAATGGTTTCTTTTTCACTGTCTCCCTCAGCTTCCCCACTTTCTTCTTCCACAGCTGCTCCACATGTCCTTTATTCTAAACCCAAATTTTTAATCTATATTTTCATCTATAAAAATGTTTCCATGTTATTTCGAGTCTAAATGTTCAGATCTTAATTAAGAGCTGATATTTTTCTGCTTTGAATAGAAAAGAACAAATGAAACTGGAGATGAAAGTGGTGGTTGTTTTTACCTCCAGGCGGGTCCGGTCCACTCCAGGGGGCAGCTTGCTCCGTCCTCTGTGAGTCACCACCAGCATCTCGTATGGGAAGATCTACAGACACAGATAAACCATGAAAGCCGTGAACCACCAGAACCACCAGAACCACGGGTCGCTGCAGCACCTGGTTCCTGCTCCCTCACCTTGTGCTCCAGCATGCTGGGGAGCGAGTTCCCCCGGTCCATCCTGGAGTCTCCATTCTGACCCAAATCAAACACAGAATTATGGTTTTAAACCAGTTTAACCAGTTAGTTACCTCCTCAGCAGCTGATTGGTTAAAGAGGTGCCGGCTGTACCTGAAGTCCTGCAGACGGACAGAGACAGAAATACGAATCAGTGTGACGAGCAGCAGGAGAGAGGAGAAGGTGTTGGAGAGGATTAAGACATTTTTACCTGTTGGACTTTTCTCTGAGGAGCTGAACTCTGCAGACTGGAGCTAGAAGATAAAGACACCTTCATCATCAGCTGACTGATCTGGATCCATCTAGATGTTCATCCATCAGGAGACGTGAAAAAACCAAACCTACCCTGGAGAGGCCGCTCTTAGAGGACGCCGGGAAATACACCGACCTGGAGGCGCTGGACGCTGGAGGAGAAAGGAGGGAAAGTTTGATAACAGGAGGATCGACCGACC